TGGAGTGTTCCAGGGTGCTTTGTGCCTGTGTTGCCTTGGTGACATGGCTGGAGCTCAGTGAGTACTGACCCAGGGTGTTTTGGTATGTGCCATGCTAGGGATTGCCTTTGTGGGATGGCTGGGGCTGGTGTGGACTAGGGACTAGGGACTCACTCAGGCAGTAGGCCAGTTAGGGTGTCCAGACTGTGCACTGGTCTGAGCTTTTAAGTTGGGGGGGAATGTAAACTGTGGAGCTCACCTACCCCTATAACCAAGATAAAGTTTCACCAGCTCCCTTGCCATTTGGTGGAGTTCTAGGGCTGGTTCCTTTATATTTTAGTTGCCCTTTTATTTTTTTTTTAATTTTTAAAAAAAATTTCTTTTTCAACGTTTATTTATTTTTGGGACAGAGAGAGACAGAGCATGAGCAGGTGAGGGGCAGAGAGAGAGAGAGGGAGACACAGAATCGGAAACAGGCTCCAGGCTCTGAGCTATCAGCCCAGAGCCCAACGCGGGGCTCGAACTCACAGACCGCGAGATCGTGACCTGGCTGAAGTCAGACGCTTAACCAACTGCGCCACCCAGGCGCCCCTTTAGTTGCCCTTTTAAACCATGGCTTTTCTTTTTCTGTTTCCCAGGGAAGAAATATCTGCTCCTGGTCCCTCAGTGCTATCCCTCCCCACTGCAGTTCACAGCATCAGAGGTGGTGGTTCCCTTCACTGCCACGTCTTCATCTCTCTTGCCATTGTCTGTGTGGTCTCTGTGTCTTTTGTTCAGTTAGCTCTCAGTTCTTCAGGAGGAGCTTCTGTACAAACACGAGTCATTTGGTGTGAATTCAGGGCATTCCTGTGTCACCTTCTGAGACCAGAAACTGTACTTCTACTTTTTTTGAAACTTCCTATTTTTATATAATTATACTTCTACCCGTAACCTGGCTTCTCCCAACAGTAATGTTTGCATAACTACTGTATGTCTACCTTTTCAAAGTTGTTTGTGGACACACTGGTATAGACTCTTTCAAGTTCTGTTTGTTTAAAGTTTTTTCTTTTTCTACAACTGTGATTTTTGGAACTAGCTTCTCTGGGTATGGAATCCTTGGTTCACACTTTTTTTCCATTGAATTTCTTGAAAATGCTGCCTCATTGTTGCCTTGCCTTGTATGTTGTTTTTGGAAAGCCTGATGTCAGATTAATTAATTTGCCTTCATGAGTTATTTCATCTTTTTGCCTAGAGGCTTTGATGACTTAGTTTATCTTCCATATCTAATATTTTACTAGGATATGTCTCAGAGTTGATCATTTTGGTATATTTTCCCAGGAACCTAGTGGGAACTTTGAATGTATAGACTGAAGTCTTTCACTTTGGAAATTTTTCTTGGGTTATAGGTTTAAATCTTTTAAATATTAACTTTGTTCCATTGTTCCATTGTTTCTTCTTCCCCAGTAATTCCAGTGACACAATTGCTATTCCTTCTTTGCTTCTCCTTCAATTCACTGATTTCTTTCTGAGCCTTTTTACTTTCTTCTTTGTTTTATTTTAATTCTCTCAGTTATTTTTCTGTCTTTTTCAATGCACCTTATTAAATTTTCTTGAGTCTGTTTTTCCTTTGGAATCTTTAAATTTATCTTCACATCTGAGATTATTTTGTCTTTCTTCCATTTATTTTCTAGTTTGATCAATTTTCTCTTTGATTTTTTGAAAGTCTGAATCCAGATGGGTTTTTTTTTCATATCCCCAAATGTATTTAATTCAGTTTCAAATGTTGTCTTGCAGGTTTTTTTTTTTTCTTCATAGTTGTTTTCTGTAATGAGATGTTTATGTGTTGAATCTTGTTTTCTGATTTTTTTTATAACAACTCTATAGATTCACCAAAAGTTACTGCTCACTTCTTTTTATGTCTTGTATTTCTTTCTTAGAAGCCATGCCTTTTGAAGATTGCTACCTAAAATTATGCACACTTGAAAGCTTCTTCCTTGTTCTGGCCTACTAGGACATTAAAAAAATATTTTTATACTTGAGGGAGACTTAATCTTTCTTTCAGTGACTTCAGATTAATCCTAAGCCCATGACAAACTCCCTTATTTCCTACAGTTTTTATCAGCCTGTCCTTGCTCACTATAAGAGTTTGTGGTGCAGCATGGATGTGAGAGAGTACTTCTTGAGATTTGGTATTTTTTTTCTTCTTTTAAACTTAGTTATATTGAGGTTTGGAAATTTTTCTGCTTTAAGTTATGCTTCCCATGTGGTTTTAGTGCCATTTAAAATTTATTTTTGTTATTCTGTATTGAGTTTGGAGGAAACATTGGGAGACACAAACCAAGGCAGCCACTGTTGTCTTCATCAACCTGGAAGTCTAATTAGTCTTTTAAAAAAGTTTTCTAATTTATGAAAACCAGATCAATCATCACCTACTTTGCTGAGATGTCAAGGTATCATTTTCCTCAGCTGAATAGCTTAAGGCCCTCTCACCCTTGCTGATCACAAAGCAGATCTTGGAGGTGGTCTTAGGTTGTGACTTATATATTTAAAAAAACCTATCCCCAGACACTGGGTATAATACATTTATCTCCTTCTTTCTCATAAATAGCAGTATTGTTTTTTAGATTTTAATTTTAATTCTGGTTAGTTAACATGGAATGTTATATGAGTTTCAGGTGTCCAATATAGTGATTCAACACTTCCATGCATCACCTAGGGCTCATAACAACAAGTGCACTCTTTAATCCCCATCACCTATTTCACCCATCTCCCCAACCACCTACCCTCTGGCAACCATCAATTTGTTCTATATAGTAAGAGTGTTTCTTGGTTTCTCTCTCTCTCTCTCTCTCTCTCTCTCTCTCTCTTTTCCCCTTTTCTCATTTATTTTGTTTCCTAAATTCCACATTGTGAGTGAAATCATATGGTATTTGTCTTTCTCTGACTTATTTCATTTAGCATAATACTCTAGCTCCACCCATGTGGTTGCAATTGGCAAGATTTCATTCTTTTTTATGGATAATATTCCATTACACACACACACACACACACACACACACACACACACACCATCTTTATCCATTCATTAGTTGATGGACATTTGGGCTCTTTCCATACTTTGGCTATTGCTGATAATGCTGCTATAAACATAGGGGTGCACGAATCCCTTTGAATTAGTATTTTTGTAAATTAGGTATTTTGTGAATTAGGTATTTTGGGTAAAACACCTAGTAGTGTAATTGCTGTATCCTAGGGTAGTTCTCTTTTTAACTTTTTTGAGGAATCTCCATACTGTTTTACAGAGCAGCTGCACCAGTTTGCATTCCCACTAACAGTGTAAGAGGGTTCCCCTTTCTCCACATCCTCGCCAATATCTGTTGTTTCCTAAGTTGTTAATTTTAGCCATTCTGACAGGTGTGAGGTGGTATCCCATTCTGGTTTTGATTTGAAGTTCCCTGATGATGAGTGATGTTGAGCCTCTTTTTATGTGCCTGTTGGCCATCCAGATGTCTTCTTTGGAAAAATGTCATGTCACCTGCCCATTTATTAACAGGATTATTTGTTTTTTGGATGTTCAGTTTTGTAAGTTCTTTATGTATTTTGGATACTAACCCTTTATTGGATCTGTCATTTGCAAATATCTTCTCCCAATCCATCAGTTGGCTTTTAGATTTGTTGATTGTTTCCTTCACTGTGCAGAAGTTTCTTATTTTGATGAAGTCCCAATAGTTTACTTTTTGTTTTTGTTTCCTTTGCCTCAGGAGAGATATCTAGAAAAGAGTTGCTATGGCCTGTGTTTTCTCTTTAGGATGTTTATGGTTTCAGGTTTCATATTTAGGTATGTATTCCATTTTGAATTTATTTTTTGTATAGTGAAGAAAGTGGCCAAGTTTCCATTTTTGCATGTTTCTGTGCAGTTTTTCTAACATCATTTGTTAAAGAGACTGCTTCTTTCCAATTGGATATTCTTTGCTGCTTTGTTGAAGATTAATTGACCATATAGTTGTAGGTTTATTTCTGGATTTTCTGTTCTGTTGATCTATGGTCTTCCTTTTTTTTTTTTTTAATTTTTTTTCAACGTTTTTATTTTTATTTTTGGGACAGAGAGAGACAGAGCATGAACGGGGGAGGGGCAGAGAGAGAGGGAGACACAGAATCGGAAACAGGCTCCAGGCTCCGAGCCATCAGCCCAGAGCCCGACGCGGGGCTCGAACTCACGGACCGCGAGATCGTGACCTGGCTGAAGTCGGACGCTTAACCGACTGCACCACCCAGGCGCCCCTGGTCTTCCTTTTTTGAGGCTGTACTTAGTTTCTCCTTTGAAGGACTGAGTTAAGTTCAGGTTTTGTTTTCAGGTTTGAGTGATTTTATTTTAACATGTAAATTTGAGTACATATAGTAATAGAGCATTTTAAATTCTGTACAAATATTTGTGACTATCCTTTAAGCATAGCTTTCCTTCTCCTTTTATGGACAGCAACAAGACCTTTTGGTCAAATTTCCTAGTTTTCTCATTTCTATTGAATAAAAGATCTGATTTACTTTGTAACTTTACCATATATTTGTTGTTAATCTTTTAAAAATTATTATTATGTTGTATCTAATGAATGCTTGCTCATTTAACAATATAATCTGGTCATAAAGGTCATATTCCCATCTCTGACTATGACACAGTCATATTTCTAAATGTTTAATGCCATTCTAATACCAGTTGGTCTTGATCTGTATTTAGAGCTGATTTTTAAAAGAATTCATTTAGGATTTGCCTTTCTGATATACTCTCTGATTTTATTATTCATATCAGAAATAAACTCAGGAGTTTAAGATTGTGGCTCTACTTATGTCATTTGTAAGTTCAGCCGTCTGTTGAGCTTACACATAATGCATTCTAGGAATTCAATTAAATAGCAAAAGATCTTGATGCTTTCCGTGTCATTTAATATTGCAGTGCTTATGCCATAGAAATAAAGAAAAGTAAGCGAAAATATAAAGAACTTTAAAATACATAGTGGGAAGATAGTTTGGACTGGCCAGATACAGAAAATACAGCATTCTTTTCATGAGAGTTGGATAAACAATATTTTCCATATTCTTATTTCCAGAAACCTTTATGACAAGTGAAAAGAGGGCTTTTTCTACGGAAAGAGTTGCCTTAACTCTTCTGTTTAGCCACACTTGCATAGGTGTTTTCAATTTCTTTGTCTTCAGGACATGTGTGGATAAATTCTTCACGGGCATAGGCATTGTGAAGATAGCGCCAGACTCCTGAGAATTCTGCTGGAATGTCAAAGTCACGGTATTTCTTGGCAGCAACCTAGGATTTTGGGAAAAAACGGTAATAAAAGGCATCAATGACATGCTTAGTGTGGAGAAACATATTTCAAGAGTCAAGATCATTAAGGACATGTTATCTGCACAAAAATAATCTTGCACTTACTACTTTAAAGTTTTTTTTTACAAATGTAGACAAAGCTATATTTGTGTAATCATATTTAAATTTATGCTGTGATTATCAGAAGAATTTCTCCACTAGACTAAGTTTGCTTAGGGTCCCAACTATGTCTTATTTCTTTATGTATTCTGTGTGTTTGGCATAGGACCTGAGATAGAATAAGTTCTGTTCAATAAGAATTTATTAAATCAATGATTAAGTCATCATGATATTACTAGTAGCTCACATTATTTATCATTTGTTATGACACTGTTCTAAGCATTCTACATGCTTTAATTTAATCAACAATTCTATGAAATGGGTAATATTACCCTTGTTTTTTTTAAGTTTATTTATTTATTTTGAGAGAGCATGCATGCAAGCATGGGAGGCAGAGAGAGAGAGAGAGAGAGAGAAAGAGAGAGAATCCCAAGCAAGCTTTGCACTGTCAGCACAGAGCCCCATGCGGGACTTGAACTCAGGAACCATGAGATCTTGACCTGAGCCAAAATCAAGAGTTAGATGCTCAGCTGACTGAGCCACCCAGGTACTCCTTACTCTTGTTTTATAGATAAGCCAGTGGAAAGCACCTTCTGATTTGGGAAGAAAGAAACAAATTTTTATGGTTCCCAGAGGAGATCACTGTGGATTTTTTTTTTTCCTAAGGAGAAAAAGGAGATATATACCATGTATAATGATGACAAAGCCATCATATAACAATCTCACACTAGTCACTGTGTTTCATGCTGGCAACTCCCAACCCCCTCCCAAACCATTCAGTATGCCCTACAAAGGCTTACTTTAATAATGTTCAGTTTGGGTAACAAGCTGCAGTCAGCCAGTGTCAGCTGGTCCCCATCCAAGAACAATCTTCTGGAAACTGTGAGTTCCTCAGCACTGTCTGGATCAATTTCATCCAGAAGCGGGGTGTTTAAGTAGTCATCCAGACGTTTAAATTCTCTGAGCAGAGATTTTTCAAAATCTGAGCAAAGAAGTCAGAAGGTTACTAATAAACGTTTTGTCTTCATGACTACATTTTACATAAGCTTTTCACACATTTAGACATCTCTAAACACATTGCTTACACTGGCCCTTCAAAATCTAAATAGTTAACTAGAACTCAACTACCCACTGATAAGACAGAATCAGGTGTTTAATCAAATGCTCTTTGACTCTTCTTGAGGAGCATTGGAAGGAGAGTCAAAGAAAGAAAAAGTCACATATGTTATTACTAAACACAGAAAAGTCAGAAAGTGGAATCAGAAACTAATAGCTCTTATGACTCAGAATACAGTAAACCCATTCAAGAATGGTCATGGGAGATAGTAGATGCTATAGTTTAAGAAACCTTAAAGGCACACAGGAAAAGTTGGGGGGGGTGCTAAAAAATACAGTCCTGCAGTTAGTTAACTCCTAGCATGTCAATGCTGTAATTGAGCCAAGTTAGTAATTGCTATATTGAATCTTGGGCTCTAAATTTAATAAAATTTCATGGAAAGGAATTTCAAAGGAGAAAAGAAAAAAATCAGAGGAAGAGTGCATTCCCCAACATATATTACATATTCAGGAAAATCCCATGTTAGCTGAGTGAGACTGTGGGAGTCAGCAAATGTGTGAGAGAAATAGAAATTTAAATAAAGGTATCTTACTCTTATTTGCTTCTTTTTGTGTATTCTTTATGTATGCAGAAAACTTGGCAAAGAGGTTACAGCCCACATCAAAGGACTCCTTGTTCTTGGGACTCAGGTGAGGATACCTTAAAAAGAAACATCACTGCATGATTATTCACACATAAGTCAGAGACCAAGTGTCCTAGCTTGTACTCTACTGAAAATGGAGGTTTTAGAAAATTGTGCTGGAAACAGAGGGTTCTGAGAATCTCTATTTGTAAATATATATTTTTCCCAATATCAGAATACTTTAGTTTCTAAAGTTCACTAGGAAACAAGCTGTGGAAAATTCAAAGGCCATTTACCTGTAGGAACAATGTTTTAAATGGTAGTTAAGTCCCCCATACTTGTTCCTGAAAGCCTATTTGGCAGAAGATATATTGTTGGTAATACGTTTTTAAAGCTAAGTAGGAAAAAATATGGCTTTAAATTATTGTAAATTCCATAAAAATGAAGGAATAAAGAGGATAGAGAGCATGGAAAAAGGTAGCCAAGATGTCCTCTCCTTAGTAATACAAAGTTCACTTAGCATAATAAAAATTAAATAATGTAATAATGTAATCCACCACATTAAGAAATTAAATAATACCATATTATCATGAGTAGATGCAGAAAAATTATTGCAAAGCAATTCCTAGTCATAAAAAAACCCCACCAGCAACTAGAAATGATCAGGTCAAACAGTCATCTTCCTTAATACTTCTCTTTCTCTCCCTCCCCATATTTGCTCCATTAGCAATTCTATCCAGTTTCTCTTTCAAAATATACCCAGAACTTATCCACTTCGCACCACCTCCACTGCCCTCTGCCTTGTCCAAGTCTTATACTACTGCAATAGCTCTTTGACTATTCTCCCCACTCCCATGCTTGTCCCCCACACTCTTAGACTATTTTCCACTTGCTGCCAGAGCAATCATGTTAAAAGGTAAATTGTATCATGTATCTCCCCTACTTATTACCTTGCAATGCCCCCATCTCATTCAGACTCAGACCCCAAGTCCTCATAGTAGTCTACAGGGACTGATGTGATCTGACCCTATCTTGCCACTCTGCTCTCATTTCCTCCTACTCTTTTCTCCACTCACTACACTTGAAACTTACCTCTTTGCTGTTCTTCAAATAGACCTGACAAGCTCCAGCCCCAAGGCTTTTTCACTTAGTCTTCCCTTAAATGGACTGATTTCCTTTATGTATGCACATGACCTACTCCCTCTCTTCTTTCGGATCTAGTTTTTATATTTCTAAGTGAGACCTTCCTCTGCCCACTCTATTTAACATTGCAACCTTACCCTGCCCTTACCCCATACTTTACTCCCTAGTTTTATTTTTTCTTAGTATTTAACATCATCTAAAATAGTTTCTGTTTTGCTTTTTAATCTTGCCTATTTATTGTCTTCCCCAACTAGAATGTAAGGTCTACTAAGACAGTGTTTTTGCCTGGTTTAATCACTGATGTGTTTCAAGTGTCTAGAATATTGTTTGATAGTAAGTACTCAGTAAATATTTATTGAATGATTAAACTAATTCATTAATTTCCTTAACTTGATAAAATATATCCATCAAAAACTTTCAGCAAGCACCATATTACATGGTGAAATGTTAGAACTGTTTCCCTTAAAATGAGTAAATGATGAGAATAATCATTATCACTACTTGTCTTCAACATTGTGCTGAGTGCACTAACAAATAAGACAAACAACATTCTAAATGGTAACTTTAAAACCATTTACATTAAATTTAGGAACAAGACAGAATTAATGAGATATTTCAGTAAGGTGGCTAATACAAGTCAAACATTAAAAAAATAAGTTTTCTATGCTACCAATAACCAGATGGAAATAGATATTAGTAGCATATTCCATTTACAATTGTGATAAAGTATAAAATATTTAGAAATAACTTAATACAAAGGTATAGAACCAATATGAAACAAAACAAAACAAAACAAAACCTCATCAAAGAACATAAGACTGGCACTTATGTTGATAACCTAATGTAAATCAGTGGATGAATGGATAAAGGACATGTGGTGTATATACAATGGAATATTATTCAACCATAAAAAAGAAGGAAATCCTACTATTTCTAACAACATGAATGGACCTGGAGGACATTATTCTAGGTGAGATAAGTCAGACAAAGACATATACTGTATGATCTAACTTATATGTAGAATCTAAAAAGCAAAAAATCATAAAAAAGAGAGTAAAATTATAGTTACTGGAGGCACCTTGGTGGGGGGATTGGGGAGATGTTTAAATGTTAAAAGCTTGCAATTAGTAGATAAATAAGGACAGCATAGTGATTATAGTCAACAAAACTATATTATAAACTTCAAAGTTCCCATTAGCAGTTACTCCCCATTCACACCTCCTCTCAGTCCCTGGAACCACTAATCTTTCTGTCTCTATGGACTTGCTTATTCTAGACATTTCATATAAATGGAATCATACAATATGTGGCCTATTGTTTTTGGCTTATTTCACTCAGTATGATGGTCAAGGCTCATATCCTGGTATGTATCAGTACTTCATTCTTTTTTATGGTTGAATAATATTTCATTGTATGGATAGACCACATTTTCTTTATCCAGTAATCACTTGATGGATATTTATGTTGTTTTCACCATTTGGCTAGTGTAAATAGTGCTGCTATGATTGTGTACACGATTTTGTTTGAATACCTGTTTTCAGTTCTTTTGAGTATATATCTAGGAATAGAATTGCTGGGCTATGTGGTAACTCTATGTTGAAATTTTTGAGTAACTGTCAAATTTTTTTCCACAATGGCAGCATTTCTACCAGCAACGTATGAGAATTCCAATTGTTCCACATTTTTGTAAGCATTTGCTATTTCCTGGTTTTTTTTTTTTCATGATAGCCATCTTAGTGGCTTTTAAGTGTTATCTCACTATGGTTTTGATCTGCATTTCCCCAATAACTAATGATGTTAAGCATCTTTACATGTGCTCATTAGGCATTTGCATATATTCTCTTGAGAAATATCTACTTTCTTGACACTTTTAAAATTAGGTTGTTTGCTTTTCTGTTGTTGAATTGTAAGAGTTCTTTATATATTGTGGAAGCTAGACCTTTATCAGATACATGATTTGGAAACACTGTCTCCCATTTTTTTTGGATTAATTTTTCTTTTTTTTTGATAGTGTTCTTTGATGCACAAATGGTTTTAGTTTGATGAACTCTAATTTATCTACTTTTTATTTCATTGCTGTGCATTTGGTGTCATATCTAAGATTCTATTGCCAAATACAAGGTCCTGAAGATTTACCCATATGTTTTCTTCTAAGAGTTTTATAGTTTCAGCCCATATGTCTAGGTCTTTGATGTGCTTTGAGTTAATTTTTGTTTATGGTATGAGGTAAGGGTCTAACTTTTTTCTCTTGCATGTGAATATCTAGTTTTCCCAGAATGATTTGTGGGGAAAATGCCATGTGAAGATGGAGGATTGGAATTATGGATCCACAAGTCAAAGAACACCAGTGATTGCTGGAAAGCCACTGGAAACTAAGAAGAGGCAAGGAAGGATCTTTCTCCTAAAGGTTTCAGAGGGAGCATGGCCCTGCTGATTCTTTGACTTCATACTTCTGGCCTTCAGAACTATAAGACAAATTTCTGTTGTTTTAAACCACTCAATTTATGGCACTTAGTTGTGGCAGCCCTAAGAAACTAATATACATGTCTTTCCATTTTTTAGGTCTTCTTTCAGCAATGGTTTGTGATTTTCAGCAGAGAAGTCTTTATTAAGTTTATTCCGAAGTTTTTGTTATTTCTTATACTGTTGAAAATGGAATTGTTTTTTAAATTTACTTTTTGGATTATTCAATGATAGTGTAAATAAATAAAATTGATTTTTGTATATTGATCTGTATATTTCAATTGTATTTAAATCATGTATGAGTTCTAGTAGTTTTTTAGTGGATTTTAAAGGATTTTCTGTGTGAAAGATTATGCCATCTGCAAATAAAGATAGTTTTACTTCTTCCTTTCCATTTTGAATACTTTTTATTTATTTTTTTTTCATAACCACTCTGGTTAAAACTTCCAATGCAGTGTTAAACAGAAGTATCAGATATGGTACCCCTGTGTTGTTCCTAATCCTAAGGGGAAAGTTTTTAATCCCTTACCATTAAGTATGATGTTATGTGTGGGTATTAGATGCTTTTTGTCAGGTTGAGGAACTTCCCTTCTGTTCCTAGTTTGTTGAGTATTATCATGAAATGGTGTCAGATTTTGTCCATTTTTTTTTTGCATTGAGATGAGTATGGCTTCCCTCTTTTACTCGTGCTCTTTATTCTTCACATGACCTTAATTTACTGTCTAGTGGCCTCTCATTTATGCCTGAAGGACTCCCTGTAGCATTTTTTGTAGAATAGGTCTACTAGCAACAAAATTCCTCAGTTTTTGTTCATGTGGAATGTCTTAACTTCCCTTTCATTTTTGAAGGATAGTTTTGCCAGATATGGAATTCTTGGTTGATTTTTTTTTCTTTCAGCACTTAATATGTCATCTGTCTGCCTTCTGGTCTCCATGGTTTCTGATGGAGAATCATCTGTTAATCTTACTGAATATCTCTTCTACATGAGGAGTCATTTTTCTCTTGCTGCTTTCAAGATTCTATCTTTGGCTTTGGCTTTAGATAATTTGATTATAATGTATCCTGGTGTTGATATCTTTGTCTCTATTCCACTTGGATTTCATTGACCTCCTTGGATGTATAGATAAATGTATTTAATTAAATTTGGGAAACTTTCAGCCATTATTACTTCAAACATTCTTCTGCATCTTTATCTCTGTTGTCTCATTCTGGGACTCCTATTATGTGTATCTTGGTACATTTGATGGTATTCCACTGGTCTGTTAGATTCTGTTCATTTTCTTCCTTTTACTCAGACTGGATAATCTCAATCAATTTATGCTCACTTTTGCTTATTACCTCTTTTATATGTTCAAATCTGCTGTTGAAACCCTCTAGTGAATTGTTCATTTTAGTAATTGTACTTTTCAACTCCAGATTTTCTATTTGGTTCCTTTTTACAGTTTCTGTTTATTGCTGTTCTCTCTATGCT